CAAGGGTGGTCATAGACAGGACATTTTGGAGATTGCCCATTCTTAGGGTTGCTATGAGTTGGGGGCAACTTGAAGGCACATAACAACAATACCGTCCAAGATAAATTGCATATTTGCAGATATTTACTTATGGAGGATCTGGCACATTACATCCTTTGTTTGCTGTACAATGACATCAGAAATTCCAGATGTAGGGAGAAATTTGAGGATTACATTTTGAAAAATAGCTACAGAGACTTGAAAGTATGGCACCTTGACTTGCTTGATAAAACTTGGTAAAGGTCATCTATATCTCCACTTTAGAAATGTTATATTGTCATATTATTAAAGCGACATTCCTTCCTTCCATGTATATATGTATCATGTACCAATATTTACATATTTAGTTTTCATTGTCATTTTTGTATCTTTTCAAAGTTTTAACTGTATTGCATATCACAATTTTATTTTGCAATGATCTTTGGACTAATGCAATAAATATTCTTTTTATGGTTACTGAGTTCTCTTCTGAGATCAGAATACATAGCAGGTGCCTACTTGTTAACAATACCTGCCAATACTACTACTAGGGAATAAGCCTCACTGAACATAAATAGGTTTGTGCTGCATAATAAACAGTTGATAGGTCTAAAAGTAGGTGTACTAAAGAAAAATGAGAGAGAGAAGAAAGGGTAGGCCTGCCACTGAATTAAAAAAAATCTTAATAATGAATTTCAGTTAATCTAGTTATTAAATTTGCATAAATGTGCATATGGGTTTTTTAAAAATGATAGTTCTAAAGTAATAACCATTATTTGTTTTTAGATAATGCTGTCATAATGTGACAGCTAACATTGTCTTCCTGAAAACAGAACGCCTGGGATGCCAGATGAAGCTTTTAAAATAAATAAATGTAAGTATTTATATTAAAGTATCTGCTCATTATTAATTTTAAAAGTTTTACATTATTAATTGAACTGATTAATCATACTGGAGTTGGAAGGGGCCTATAAAAACCATTGAGTCCTGCCCCCTGCTCAATGCTGCTGTCTCAAACAAGATGACAGTTGGATAAAATGTCGACAGAAGGAAAACAAAAAAGCAAAAAGGGAGTTGTAGTAAAGCTAACTGATGAAAGATGTGGAAACATATAAGTACATGTTCCAGGTAACTTGATACAGAGTAAATACCAACTTACATTTTTTTCAGACACTTGATAAACATGGTTAATACCTGGAGAAAAATATTCCACTCTCACTTGCTTGTTCAGCTTGCTTACATACTGTAGTTCATTTTGGAGATTCCAATATATGTTCGGGTTATATACGTATATCCACCTCTTGAAGGTAATCACCATTAAACTCAGTGGGGCATATTTCTGAGTAAGCATGTACAGGGTTGCACTTACCGTTTCCCTGAAAATAAGACCTAACCTAAAAATAAGCCCTAGTATGATTTTTATATTTAATTTCGTGGCAGATGTGACAACAGTCACAAAATTAAGACGCCTGCTTCTGGGGAGGAAAGTGATAACAAACCTAGACAGCATCTTAAAAAGCAGAGACATCACCTTGCCGACAAAGGTCCATATAGTCAAAGCTATGGTTTTTCCAGTAGCAATGTATGGAAGCGAGAGCTGAACCATAAAGAAAGCTGACCGCCAAAGAATTGATGCTTTTGAATTGTGGTGCTGGAGGAGACTCTTGAGAGTCCCCTGGACTGCAAGGAGAACAAACCTATCCATTCTGAAGGAAATCAACCCTCCAGATCCTGAAGCTGAGATTCCAATACTTTGGCCATCTCATGAGAAGAGAAGACTCCCTGGAAAAGACCTTGTTGTTGGGAAAGTGTGAGGGCAAGAGGAGAAGGGGGAGGACAGAAGACGAGGACCAGATGGTTGGACAGTGTCACAGAAGCTACCACCATGAATTTGACCAAACTCGGGGAGGCAATGGAAGACAAGAGGGCCTGGCGTGCTCTGGTCCATGAGATCATGAAGAGTCAGCCACGACTTAACAACTAAGCAACAATGTTTTTTCAAGATGCTGGTAATATAAGCTCCATTTAAACCCTATCCTCTGTCATTGTGGAGCAACCAGAAGGAGATGACATGACTGTACTTGAATAAATATAGATTGTTGTACGTGGGGAAAAATCCCCTGAAAATAAGCCCTACTGCGTTTTTTGGAGCAAAAAATTAATACAGTATCAGACCCTTTCTTATTTTCGGGGAAACACGGTATTTATTTGGCCACCATCTCACGCTACCCCGTAGGTTCAGAGGAGTTTACAGCCTTTCTTTCTAAAGCGTCGATGGTTGAAGTGTTTGTTGGTTCACGTGCAGTGCCAGGAAAAGTGCCAAGGGAGGCGGTGGGCAGAGCTAAGGGGAACAGAGACAGGCCTATACTAAAAAAAGAAAAAGAAAAAGAAAAAAGAAAAAGAGGTCGGGCGGGCCGGCTCACCCGCGCAGCGCTGCGTCGCCGATAAGATGTAAAGGCAGCACAGGTCGCACCACGTCCTCAGCCCTTCCGCACGCCTGAAGCGGTGTGGTTGCCTCAGCTGGCGCGGTTGGGCTTGTGCGGGCTCGAAGATGGTCCTAACATGGCGTGGCCGATGGAGTCCCTGACGTCGCCGACCAAACACAGGACAGACAGCCGCCACCGCGGTGGGAGCCCCGTTTCCCCCCTCAGGCACCGGCAACTCATTATACTGAGGCCCGAAGAGCCCCGCCGCCGCCGCCTGAAGCCCCCGGGGTGCCTTCCCCACCGGCGCCCGCCTCCTCTTGCCTCTGGGACTCGGAGTCCCTCTGAGGAAGGAAGGAGGCGATTTCAGCGGGGCAGCCTCCTCCATGCTAGGTCCCGGCTGACGACTTTTAGAAACTGCCTGAGTCACCTCCGAGCTCCCTCTCCGGGAAAGCAGAGGCCACGACGACTTGCAGCCGCGCGGGGTGTGGGTGGGGAGGGCATCCCTCGCCTGCCCGCCTGCGAGTCACCTCACCTGTAGCAACCGGACCTGCCTTGCCGGCCAGACCACCGCTTGGAGTCATTTGCGAGCGAGGGCAGGTAAAGCAGGACGGCAAAATGCCCGGCCCCGATCCCTCTGGAGAGGATAACCCAGGATGCGGAAGGGCGGCTCAACTAGTTTAAATACATGCATTTTTAGATGACTCTCCTCGGGTTGTGGGACTTTATCGATACGTGGTAGCCGTAACTATGCCTCCTTGGGTACTTTGGGGAAAGAAAGGAGGCATAGAAATAGTTTAAATAAATAAATACCCGAATGAGTATCTGAAAATCTTATGGACCAGGGTGATCGCCTCTTGTAAGGGGTGGCGGAGGCGTAGCCCTCCAAATGGTGTACTGTAGTACCGTTCTCATCATCCCTCACTATCGACCATGCTGGCGAAAGCTGATAGGAGTTCCAGTCCAACATCATCTCTAGGGTTGCCGTTTCATCTTCAAACGCTACAGAAGGGGGTGGGCAATTGTAGTCCTCTAGGAATGTCAGGCCTTCAACTCCCAGAATTATTCACTATTGGCTCTTGCAGGGTTGTGTGCGTGTGTGCGCCCGCGCTCAGTTATGGGATGCATACAGAGCTGAAGCCACCTTCCATGATTATTTTTAGAAAGCCAGGATGAGACATTGTTTTGTTTAAAAGGTAAAGTGTGGCTTTCTCTTTGCTTAGAATACTAACATAGAAAAGTCGCATGCGCTACTGAGTTGTGCAGAGGAGCTTATTTGGTTTGGCTTGTATGTCATGACATGCTCTATTTACTAATTGCAAGCTGTTTCAAGATCACCAGCATGATACTGGTCATCTATAATGGCATGGGTCTTAATAGCTTGCCATAGTTACAGGTTATGGCAGGAGATACACAACTGTGACTGAAACCGACAGCACAAACCTATGCATCTTCACAAAAAAGCAGCTCCTATTTGTTCAGTGGGGGATACATGCCTCCTAAATCTTTGGAGGAAAGGAGAATGGGGACTAAATTGTCAAACATTGTTTTCTTTCAAAAATGTTTTATTTGTTAATGCATAAGTCTACCTTTCTGTCAGTAAATTGAAGCAGGAAATCTTTCATTGGCCACAATCTGCTGCCGCCTGTGATATAGAATCAGGTACAAGCCCAACAAAGTTATCACAACTGGATAGCCCATGGACATAACCATACTTTCAAAAGCTCACGACAGTTCCTATAAATAGGAAACCTGTGAAAAATTGAGAAGCTACTTTTAGTAAAAGAAAATGGGATTTCTAACAGTTGGAATTGCTTAAAAAAAACAGTTGACCAATCAAAAGATCCAGCACACTGATATCTTTAGATAGTCTGAAGAAGTGGACTGGTCCATGAAAGTTCACATTAAAATATAGTGGTTAGTCTTTAAGGTGCCACAAAATTTTTGTCTTCTTTATTTATTTTTTAAAAATGTTTTTGTCCTGATATGCTAGCACAGAATAATATAGTTACCTCTTCTAAAACTGCATTAAAGTGAAAAAAATGTTTTTGTCCTAATACGCTAGCACAGAATAATACAGTTACCTCTTCTAAAACTGCATTAAAGTGTATGAAGTTGCCAGCACACATAATTTTACTTGCACTGCTTCTATTCTTTCGGTAAAGAAATGTGAATGATAAATTTAAGGTTAAAGATCTCTTTCTAGGATTCTTTAAAAATAGTTGAAACAGATTAAACAGAATGTACTGTATTTGTGCAAGGAAATTATTCATGCCTGTGTTGCTACATAGTTAAGTGGATAGGTTTGTTATACTGTATATGTATATTACAATGAATGCATATGTATCAGATCACAGCTCCCACTTTTAAATTACAGTATCTTTCAGACAATACCCAGTCTTGAAGTACAGTACATTGCCTACACAGCAAGACCAGCAGCAACTAATCTTTTTCAAACAATACCCAGTCTTGAAGTACAGTACTGTACTGTACATTGCCTACATAGCAAGACCAGCAGCAACTAATCTTTTTCACTGAGAATAAATTAGACATATGAAAAAAGATTTATTTTTTAATTCTGCCTAATTGTAATACACTTAAAGAATTTTAACAAGTCTCACAGGCATGGCTGAAATTCATTCTCTAAAAACTAGGGTTCTCCCACAAATCAATATTAAAATAACAGTGCAAAATATTAAAAATAGTAAAAAGCAAGCTTTTATGGCATTACAGCATTACAGTAGTAATTGCTAATACTTTTACACTGTTCATTGAAACTGGCTTAGTATAAAGAAAATAAAATCTATTATTCTATTCCTCACCCCCATTCAATAATATTGAACAAATACAGATAAGCAAATTGATGATTCTGTGAAATAAAGAGTATAAAATGATTCCACAAAATAAGTGCATTACAGAAATATACTCTCAATATTTCCAAGTAGGCATTTATATATAAGGCAGCAATATTTCATAGATTACTACCTACAATTTGAGTGATCCTTCTAAACCAAGAATTGCTCCTACAACTCCTTTAAATTCCATTTTATAATGGAATTTAAACACCTCTGTGCAGGACATAAGAAATCACTTGCTATTTGTGTGTGCTCTTTCTAATGGACTGGGCTGTGGAAAAAACAGCAACAAACAAAGAACCTTAACTACACTTCTGTTCTTCTCAAATTATTCAGGATGGAGTAACCAGAAAACACCATTACTAACTGAAAACATAAAGAACACTAGGTCTATAAGAGTCTTCCACTGTTTCTTGAGATTACAGTGTATTTCTGTGTAAGATTCAGAATATTTGGTTTTGCATGTCAAAAAGGAAGAGGCAAAGAGATGTTATCCATTGGGAATCTAATGTATACAAATCCGACTGGAAGGAACTGGAATACATGGTTGAAAGCCCCTGGCTCCTAAATTCTAGAAGAGAGTGAAATCAATTGTTTCCTTTCAGGTCTGGTACAGAATAAACCATCGGAGAGTTAGGGTCTTATTTTTCTGACACATAGGAAAGTAAGTTCCATCAAAGTTAGTAAAGTGACAACCTGTTTTATTCTGTAAGTACGTATAAAGTACTGAAAATAAAGGATGAATGTTTACTATAGCTTGACTCCACACTTATTCATCTTTAGAGCAGACACTAAAATCAAAGAGTCTATCCTAAGCATGGCTGCATCTGGGTCCAACCATCTATGTGTAACAGTAACACATGTGTACAAGCGTCTATATTTATGTTTTATTTAACATGGAATGGTGGTCCACTCTATTTAAATTTGAAACAGAAACACATTTCTACTACTTTCTTAGAATTTATGGAAGACAGAAACCAGTTACGGTCTTTGCTTAGTGTTTAATATGAATATGCATGTCTCAACAAAAGTTAATGTTTTTAAAAGGATATTTTAAAATTTTTTACCAACAAAGATTAAGATTCACTGAATTTGGAATATACTGGAATTCCTACTGCACAGTTTTACAAACAGTGCAAGTTTTAGAGGTGACTTGTCATAAGTTAAGAAATGTCTGTGTATTTTTTCTGTTGCACATCAAATCATATGACTCAGTATGCAACAAATAAAATCTATGGCAATTTGATTCCAAAACTTCAGAATTTGAGTCATTATCTGTTGTATACTGAATTGTGTGACTCAATGTGCAATGGGTAATGTCTATGGAGATGCCTGAAAGCAATTCACTTCCAAAAGTTATACCATTTGTGTAACAGGATTTCAGCCACTGTATACTACCAAAGAAAATACTTACAAGATGTTGTAGCTTTTTTACTTTACCTGTGATAAGCAAATGGAAGGCTAAATTTATATTTGCTTCATAAAGGCAAATTGCACTTTTGGTAACATACAGTGATACCAAAAAATGGACATGATTAAAAATCTAACAGCATATTCTGCACATTCAAAATTTAAAAACTCATGTTTAGAAGTATGTTTTTGATTTTTGGCAACAGATATTTGTTCACAATTAAAGGAAGCTGAGATAATTCCAGATTATCATACACAAGATATTCAGCATTCAAGTGACTTAAGAGGAAGCCTAATTTTTGAACAGCAGGGAAATTCAGGGCAACAATTTCTCCAGCAATATTCACATAAAAACAAACAGCATTTGAAGTAAATGCATCATAACAGTGTGCTCACCACAATATGCAGCCATAATTGTTTTATATAGACAATTTTCATGTTCTTTAAATGTTAAGAACACTTTTAACATTACCAAAAGAAAGAGACTTTCTATATTTACAGTATATAAATATTTACACACGTCTATTACATATTGAAAGAAAAGCCAAGTGCAGAATACTCTTTCTGTCTATAAATGCCCTTTGTGTGCAAGGCCAACAGACTGCATCCTGGCAGATGTGGAAACTAGATACAATCGACATTTCGTGGGCCACCATCCATAGTTAAAGCACCAAACCTAAAGAAAAGAGCAATTTGGTTTAGTCACAATGTTTAACAATAGTATGTAACAATTAGCTCACTACAGCGAAACCTCAAATTTGCACAGTACTTTGCATCTGCAAATAGTTCACCTTATACTAATGCTAGGAAATACTCGCTTGGATTCAGGGAGTCCTATCCCCATAAGGCACTTCCACTCATGCATGTGGGGTAAATTTGTGATTTATCTTAATTCCTTCCCCTCTATAGCTTTCCCATGGTGCTTCACAAACAATTCCAAATGTTTCATTAATTTCAGGGGTAACTTTTTACTAGATTCAAAGGCAACTATTTCCCCCGTAATTCTCTTGTTATAAGCTGTAGTATGATCTGGAAAGTCACAGATTATGGTAATACTATAACAGGATCTAAGATTATGTCAGTATTTCATCTTTCAGCATCTGTGTCTAGGTCAGCTGTATATCTGATTATATATTAATTTTCTCCATGTAAATATATTTTGAGAAATGTTTCTTACAGCACATGTCTATAAAAACAACTGTCAACCAATCTAGAGTATACTTCTTTTGTAGAAAATACTATAATCATTCATAATTCAATTAAAAAAATCTATCTGTAAAAAGAAAGCGCATTAATCAGTGGGAGCCGCCTGGAAATCAAAAGCTTAGGATGTTAAAGTAAAACCCATATTTCTTCAAGCAACTCCTTCAAGCCTTTAGAACACAATGTCATCAATATCCATTACTTGAAACCTGGCAATAACAGAAAGCTTCTATGTCACAGTTTAAGAGCAGGAAGTGATGTTTACCATTAAAGGATTAGTGTAAATCCAAAGAGATGTGCATAGTGCTATTTTCTTCTCTTATTTCCCTCATTGTTCTTCTCTCCTTCCTTGTCTGCTATTATTCTTTTTTACACTTTCTTTATTGCAGGCCAAAATCCTACTGAGTTTTTTTGCTAACATAATGCAACTGGTATACATCTTGGTGGCAAACTAATGCAAATTAAAAGATTAACATAGGTTTATTGTTTCACACCAAGTTGCCTAATTTAGCAAGCAAAGCGACTGCATTCACTAACTTCTTATCTGGCAGCTATTACATACCCAAATTTGTGCTAGTCATGCCACACCAGCAGGTGTGATTAAGAAAAATTTGGTCATTATTTATTTTTGTATTTAACATTCATCTAACTCTCTTGTTTATACCTGTGATTTACTCTCCAAGGATGGCAGGGGGATTAAAATGGAGGGAGACGTGAAAAACCATTGGGGTTGTTAATTATTTGTACTCTATTTTTAAAAAATGGAAAAACCCCTAAAAAACCACTGATAACTAAAAAAAATGGTAGATCTAACCGTTGGTACCTTTCCAAGACAATTGTTGTCTTTTAAGCTACTTTAATTCAATTGTGTTTTAATACTATACTTAAAAAAAATTCAGTGCTTAAAAAGGTAATGTTGTTTGCTGCCTTTAGTTCTACAGTAGTTTTGGGGAAAGGTGGGATGGAAATCAAATAAAATACGCCAAAAACCAAATAAAGTTCTTTACAGGGCTCACTTACCTTTCCAAAAGGTGGTTATTCTCTACTAATTCTTTGACAACACCCTCCATTTCTTCTTTCAGTTTTTTCATACTGCAAATATAAAAAAAATGAATGTACTGTTTCATGCTAGACTTTCAGTTTGAGAAACAGGAAAATAAAACTGTTTTTAAAAGACAATCATCACAGAACTGCATTGCTGGAAGAGATGCTATGGGTCACTGAATCCAGCTCCTCCCAGGAAAGTACAGTGGGGAATCGAACTCCCAGCCTCTGGCTCTGGAGTCAGATACTAAACCACTGAGATATCCAGCAATTTGTAGTAACTACTCAGAATGATTCTAATAACCTTCAGTGATGAGTATTTCATTAATATATAAGCAGATGACATGGAAGTAAAAAACACACATGGTGGTATAATCTCTTATGGAGCTACACAAGCATGCAATATACACATTCAGACAAATGTAAAAGATGTTGCTAGTCAAATGTAGATAAACCCCAAAGTCAATCTGACTTTCTTTCTAACACACGTTGATCTAATGCAAAATATGCCTATTTTTCATTGTTATTCAGTAGTTTCTTAAACACAGAGAAAGAGGGGGGAGGCAAAAATTAGTCACAGAACAACCTGGAGAACAGATCATATCCTAACACAGAGGACTTCCTTCCCACTGGCCAAAGCTTCTGCTTTAATAGAAACAACACGGACTAATTATAGTTTAGTGTCCTATTAAAAAAGGTGAACCTTTCTTACCCAAGGGTCATTTCTACCAAAGTGTTTGAACTTGGATACACAGGATTAACTGCATGTTTTATTCCAGTGGAAGCTGCAAACATCTTGTGAGGCAAAGTTTCTTGTAACTGCAATAAATACATGTAGTCATGTAAATTACAAAACCAAAAACACTGAGTATTTCTGATTGGCATCTACCAGTTTTAAAAAATCCCGTGTCTTGATGGATACAGTCAACTCTCATTAGGCTATTTATAACATCTTTAAAAGTACATCAGGCTCCCTGAAAGCAAAGTCAATATTAACAAATCAGAATGTACAAAATTCTGAAGACTGAAATAACTAAACATACAAAGAGATCTGTGGCAATAGTGAGTTCCAAGAAAAATTTAATGCAAAAAAGAGTGTTGGCAATAAAGAATCTTCTGGCACATTAAAGGCTAGCTGGTTTTATTTGGCGTAACCATTTGGGAATTACAGCCTACTTCTTCAGATGCACTTGGCTTGTCACCAAATTGCTGCTGATAACACACCCATCCTGGCACTAAGTAAGCCAATTAATGCATATATACCTGAAATTCTGGACAACATCTTCAAGCATATAACATAGGGTTCTGTTATTTTTGCTGCAAGAACTATTCCTTTACAAATAACTCAGCAATGTAGTGCCAGCTGGTTATCTAAACTCATGTATTAGAAATACTGTATATGTAAGTGGACATTTTCTACAATTTTAATTTTCCTCTTCTCTTGACTCTTTTTATTAAAGAAACAAATTAGCCAGCCTCTGGGCATTTCTGTTTCCAGAACGAGTGCCTGGTCTAGAACCCTACTAATGATTGAAAAAAAAAAACATACTGATTTTTATATCTCTTCCACTTTGGAAAAACCACAAGTAACCCTAACTTTTTTACGAGAGGAGGTAATCAGTCAAATGCAGAATTTTTCCACATTAGGCGGATTTGTTATAACACAAATAGTTAATTCACACATATGGTAATGCTACTGAGATGATGATTGGATATGCTGTGCCTTAAAAATCTCTGCTTCTGTTATTAGATTGTACAGACAGAGTTGTGCCCATTAAGTATAATATATTATTCTGGTATTTATGAACAGCTGTGAAAACTCTTATTAGCTAATAAACTGCTAAGTTGATGGTTCCATGAAATTAAATGTGGTTGCTTAGAAATTGGAAAAAAAGAGAGCTGGTTAAATAATGTAATATACATAGAGAAAGAAAGAAGCTGAAAGTTATGGATGCTCATTTTCCCTACTTTGAAATTACTATAAAAAAAGATGCAGTACGAATTTCAACATATTTAAATATCTTACAGTAGCCAAAAGTTTGTTTTCTCAGAGCACACAACAGCTTGTTGCATACATGGTTATCTTTTTATGTCAGCTGTGCAAATGGGTACTCACTACCTCCTTAATCACATTTAAGACTCATTGTCTTATGAGGCAAGGTAGAGGTTGCTTGAAGAATTTTGGAGTGCTGTGCACTGGCAAATAGCACGCTGGCCAATGACTTAAACTGACCGTGTATGATGCATTTACCATACTCTATCTAGCTTCTGTGGTACTACTATTCCATATTGGCCTATTGTTCTGACAAGCTGGACTAAGTTGCACATTAAGTTGTAATACCAGACAGTCTGCTAAATAAGAACGATGGCCCTGATTCAACAAAGGCAATCTATACTTGGAGATACATTTCTAAGAATAAATCATACTGCTGTGCAGAAAGGAAAAACAGCTGCCAGTGACACGCCCTATTTACATGAGGGAATGGTCAAAAGACAGGTGGCAATGTAAAATTTGATTATTATTAGCAACTTTGATTATTAGTATTTACAATAACATTTGCTATGATCTCTTGCAGGAGAGGGGACGACAAACAATCTGAAACAGCTGATAAAAGAAGATTGCCATAATTACTCACTGCAGCTGGACTGGGACTCATCTTTTCTGAACTAAAACACTGAAGATGTCTTAAACCTGGTCTTTTCTCAGAATTATGAAACTATCCTTGTTCCTAGTAATTTTAATGGAACAGTGATTAAGCCTTTTACAGTATATGATAAATTTCAAGATGCCCTGGAGAAGCATGAAACATTTTTTAAAATGTGGGTAGACAATTACAAATTTAGACTAGGTAACTATTTTTTACTGTGTTAATACTGTTGTGACGTAATTAAAGAGAACTTTCACCTCATATACATAGTCCTGGTATTTGGAAACTTCTTCCTCAATATCAAAGCACAGATTTCGGAGAGTCAGTAACTGTTTCCTTAAATGGAGCATCTTCCTGGAAAGAAATTACCATCCATTTTTCAAACATCTTTGTTAATATTTGCTGCTCATAAAAGTGCTGGATGGCACAGAAAATACTACTCTTGAAAACCTAAATGCAATACAAAAAAATCTTGCCTCATCCAATCATCTGCCTTGTTCAAGAACGTTTCATATTTCTTAACACATTCTTCCTTGAATAGTGTCATAGCTTTTGTGGCATGGACAATAAGCTTCTGCCTGTAGCACAGAAAGAAGAATCAGTGCATTGTCATCACTTCCAGATATTCCATTTTACTAGCTAACTTGAAGGTTAATAGGATGGGTAATAGGTGCACAGCTGTGTATCGAGAAGTGCTGCTTTCAGCAGTGAGCACCTCGCAACTTGTTTTGGAGGAGAGAGAAGGAACCAATCAGAGATCTCTGTTCTGTTCATGATAAACCCATTTGCACAATACCTCAGATGAGTAAAGTTATTTGCATATTGGAAGGGGTCAGGATGGCAGAAAGAATCCAGAGTAAAGGAATCATCAGAGGGAGGGGAAACAATGAACTGGTGAAGCAATCTGGAGTGACAGTCCGAGAGTCAAACTGTCTCATCTGCCCTTGGGCAAAAAGAGACGGTGGGGAGAATTCACCAGCCAACCCAGCAAGGTAGATTTGTGTATTTACAATCCTACATAAAACATTTCCAGCAAGCAGGGAGGTGGAAAATGTCAGTCCATGATGGGTCTTACACTGGGGCTATCTGGGAGGAACAGAGCAGCTCCCCACGATGCCTTAATATCCCCTTTCCCCAAATGCCCCCATTCAGGATTTTCTATCTACTATCTTTGATGGGAGCCTTTCCATTCAGGAGAAGCAAGGGTTTTTAATGGGAGACAGAATTTCACCAACAATAATTCAACAGAGGGGGACCAGCAAGCCATCCAAACATAGACCAGCCATCAAGACTGGAGGTAGGGAATTTTTCTGTTTTATGCTTGCTTTCCTGAAGTTTATATTCTCACGTTACAAGTTAGCTTCAGGGGCTTGCATAAAAATCCTGGGAGAAAGGAATGAGATGTTTTAACTTTATTCTTCAAAGTGAAGATCAGGGACAGGGGAAGACTAAAATTCTGTATTGCAAAAATAAAAATAAAAAAGACTCACTTGTCAAATTTGTGAATTTGTTCCTCATTGTAAGGAAGTCCTATAGAGGGAAAAATCAAATTAAATTGGACTGTGAACTGATGTTGCATTTACTATTCATGCTATGATCTGTTTATACAACAATTACTGATGGGTTTTCAGTCTATTATGCCCATCAATATAAACGCTTAGATTTAATAATTTTAAAAATAAAATAAGCAGTCTCAAACAAGTATCAAGTTGTAAAATTAACTTGAATAAATAAACAGGCAATTAGTTCTGTCTTTCCATGGCTCATTTAACAAATTTAGAGGGCATATAGTAGTCTGTGTCACACAACAGAAATAAAACTGTACATAAAGTGGAGTTGTTATTGATCCCAGCTATTAAAAGTGTAAGATACTGATTCCTAAAATTTGCATAAAGAGAATGCATAAAGAAAATGTATCATGTCCTCCACCTTAGAACATCCTGCATTTTATTATTTAATGTATTTCTGTTGTTATATTATTTATATTATATGTCTAATATTATCTATTAAGAGTGGTTTAATTTCTCTTTCTGCATACAGCCTCATTGGCTATGAAGCAATAAAGTATCTGTATTCGTTAAAATACTCTCTTAATGATAAGGTGAAGCTGAACCAAAAGTAGATTAAAAGATACCTACGTCGTTCTGCTTTGTCTTTTTTGAACTGATAATAAATGTCTGTTATAGAACTCAGTAGTACTTGTAACCTTTCTGGGCTAGAAGAGAGTGGGGAAAATTAACAGTAAAAACATTAAGAACATCCCAAAATATAGGTTCTTAACAAAACACAGAGTAAGCACTCAGAAGGTAATGACACTTACTTTCTGTCTTTGGGATGTGTGCCTTCTTGACTAGTCCAGCCATCAGATAGCAAGCCACTAGGAGAGAGTTTGCTTTTGATGTCCTGAAGGCTAGTCTCTATTGTTCCCTGAGAACTAGAAACCTGCACAAATGCAACATATTCAGTTATACTCAGTAAAAACTACAACTATGAGCAACCTAACATGTTACAGTCCTGAAATCTTGCCTAAAATTTGGAAGTGGTGTTCAATTCAGTTACAATGACATTAAAAAGTTGTATTATGGGACATAATTGATAGAAACCTGCAACATGGAATGTGCATCATAACAGCATGCTGTAAATCAAGCACAAATCCTGGTATTCAGAACCATTCTCATTAATGTATTTCAATAATCCTTCTACTGGAGGAAGAAAAAACTTCCAAATGTTAACTAAGATTCTGTGCTTACTGTTGGTAAGCTATATTTTCTAGGCAGTACAAAGATGCCCTTGCTCTCATTTTATAACATTAAATATGGCTATTGGTTTTATTCAGCTGGCTGGAGTATCTGGCTGGGGAACCAGGGGACAGCTCCCCACTGTGCCTTCTAGCAGAAGAACCAGCCTCTGTAGCTTTGGGCAAGTTACACAGTCCCAGAGTGCCAGCAGAAGAAGTGAGTAGTAAACCATTTCTAAGTACTTTATACCATGGAAACTGTGGCAAGGGTCACTGTAAGTTGGAATCAGCTTGCCAGCACATTATTATTAGTATAAATTTTACTTTTTTCCTTAATTTTGGGTTATTGTGGGACTTTCTGTTTTAAAAGAGCGTGTCCCAGCCTTGTGGTTATATCCACTCATGGAAAAGGCTTCAGGAGTCAACCTAGAGGCAAAATCCGGAGCTGGAGTCCCGAAGGCAGCATGTGTCCTTCTGCCAACTCCTGCGACATTGCTGGAACCAGTTGTATTGGCACTTGCCTTTCCATTGGACCATTTCAGCAATGTGGAGAGCGGGGATCTGCTGCTTGGGTAACAGCCTATCCTCCATATTACCTTACCCGGGCTTCATGCTCTGGAGAGGACACTCCTCGATTCAGAGCATGTCACCATAGTCTCTTGAGACCGAAGGATGCCTATGCCTATGCGCTGCTGCAACAGTACAGTGCATAGTATGCTTGTGCAGCAATTTATATATTCCCAGGCAATAATCCTTAGGATTAAATAATTTGATTCTGGGAGGGTGAAAGGGGATGGGAGAAAGATGGAGAGAAAAACAAAAAGCGGATAAAGATGTATCATGAAGGGATGCTGAAATAATAGGCAGGTAGGAATTACAATGGCAACAAAAGGCAGAAGCAGAATGGAAAGAGCTGAGAAAAGTGTGTATCTTGAACCAGTTGAGGAATGAAGATACTTTACTAACACTAACTTCATTACAGTGGTGCCCCGCAAGATGGGCACTCCGTTTAACGACGAAACTGCATCACGACGAACTTTTTGCGATCACAAAAGCGATCACAAAACAATGTTCCCTATGGGGGAATTTCGCTTTGTGATGATCGGTTCCCTGCTTTGGGAACCGATTTTCACGAAGCAATGATTTTTTAACAGCTGATCGGCGGTTTCAAAATGGCCACCAGGTAAACAAAATGGCCGCCCGCTGTTTTCTGGGACGGATTCCTCGCTGCACAGGCAGCGAAAATGGCCGCGCTATGGAGGATCTTCGCTGGACAGTGAGTTTCCAGCCCATAGGAATGCATTAACCGGGTTTTAATGCGTTTCTATGAGCTTTTAAAAATCGCTTTACAACGTTTTCGTTCTACAGCGATTTCGCTGGAACGAATTAATGTCGTAATGCGAGGCACCACTGTACTTGTACTGTATAAGGAAACTGAGGATATACTATTCGGGGGGGAATTATACGAGCTAAGGAATTTCAGAACTGTACTAGATAATATTAGGCGAATGTTCAATGTCTACAATTTCAGGAGTAACTCTCAAGACAGCGCAAATAGAATTCTTTCATAGAACCATTTCCCTACCCTTAAAAACTCTTGATTACACATGGAAAAGAGACACGGGGCTATTTTGCCATATGGATCCTGCACAATGCTGCTTTGAAACACATGTGACAAAACTGAGATTTAATTTCTCTTTAATGAGTTTCATTTTCTTTCTGTATATAAAAGGCTCAGTTCTGGGAAGCGGGGAGAAATTGTATGTAAATAAACAGGCTTTAGTCAACATTGTAGAATGTTAATCAATTT